CTTCAACAATCTGTTCACACTTTTACTGATCTATGTTGGGACAAATGTATTACCAAGGTTGGTAATAAGATTGAACGTGGTGAAGAAACTTGCTTAACAAATTGTGTTGAAAGATTTTTGGATACAAGTATGTTTATCATCAAGAGATTAGAAAAAACAAAAAATCAACTTTAAAAATTTTGTCTCCAAATTAGATGATGATGATGATGAGTATTAGAGGCAATGAGAATTTTAAGAAAGTAATTTTTTTTGGGTTTTTTAAAATAAAAGAATTGTTAAATGCAATATATTAACAATAATATGTAAATTTATTAGATCTTATAACAATGACAATGATAACAACTTATAGCAGATAATTAGATTAATGATTTGTTCATTTGTGTATTATATTATTATTATTATTTCATTCTGAAAACATGGTTATTTATATACATATTATGTGAATATATATTATTTTATTATTGTCACTAATTTAATCCACAATAAAACATTCTATTACATTGTTTATAAATTATAATTTCTGAGAAAAAACCAAATGAATTCTAAATACCAAGAAAGAACATGTTAAAATTTAGATCATTATTCATAGAAGGTGGTGAATTTGATCTAATTGTTGATTGTGTTAAAGGTGCGGTTAGTATTGTGTTAATATTAATATTAATAATAATATTATTATTAGAGTAATTTTGTAAAATTGTTCAATTTAAATTTGTTTGTTGGTTATTATTATTAATAGATCTATTAAACATAGGACTGTCTGATGCAATAGTAGAACTTGAGAAAGGTGATTGTAGAGGCAGAGATGATGGTGATGTGCCAATGTTTGTAGTAAATCTATCAATAGATGAAGGAATACAGAAGATGATGGAAATCCGGAAGGAGGTCGGAATGCAGAAGTTGACTGGAATGCAGGAGCTGATCGGAATGCAGAAGTTGATTTGTGTATAGGACTTGATTGGGATATGGGAGATGTTGAAGATAAATAAGATGATGATGACGTTGGTGTTGTTGTCGTTGTTGTTGCAAAGATGGGAGATGTTTGTGACCAAGAAAGTGATAGTGATGTAATAGTTGATGGTGATATGGTAGATGATGTAGAATCGGGAACTCTAGTATTTACGGGTTTAATTGGTTTCAATTCATCAAGTATTGCAGGATTTGATAATTCTATTACTACAAAAAAAATTTTTTTTAAAATTTATCTAAAAGTAAATTATTTATAATGTATAAAAAACAATAGTACCCAATTACAATTTTTTTCTTTTTAATCTCGAATGTTTTTTTTCTTCATGTTTATATAATAATGTCTTTATAATGTTGCCAATAAAATACATTATAAAAGTGATTTCTGTTCAATAAGTTAATTATTGAGTAAAAATTTATTCATATTATTAAAAGTATTATATGTATCATCATTTATATTATTTATACTTGCCGAATGTAGCGAAAGATTTCCAGTCTCTCCACTCTATCAATAAAATATCAAAATGAATATTTTTTCAAGAAAAAACAAAATATCAGTTCATACATATAGTAAGCATACAAGTAACAAGAATATTGAAAAATATATATGGTTTATCTATCACCTATTAAAAATGATTGAACTAATCATCAGAATTACCAAAAAAGCACTATTCGAAGTGGTGATTTGTATCAAATAATAATAAGCATAATGGTACTTATTTTCAGGCAACTCTCTTTCTGCTACAAGTTTATGTTCCAAAGGAGATAAACAATATGTTCTAGGAGGTAGGCCAAGAGAATATTGTGGTTTTGGTCTTGATATTGGAGTAGATTGAACAAGAGATGAGTCCGCAACTCGATTCTTAATGTTGATTCTGGAGTATTTCCTAATCATTTGTCCTACCATTCCAAAGATTATATTGATTTGATAAATGTTGATTATTCATTTTCTTTAAAATAGAAATCTAAGATTTTGGCCGATCATGTCCATTTTGAAAGATATTATCACTAAGAGATGAAAGGATTACCTACAGTATACATAGGTAAACTCGATAAGTCGGATTTGGCCTAACTCGGACAAAAATTTCCAGCCCTTTTTTTTTATATTTAAA